TGGATTCAATGGTGTTGTAATTTATAGAGTTGGGATTGTAGATAGCAATGAGTTAGGAGAATGTGTTGGATTTCTACTTCTTACCTAAATCTTAATTATCAGAATCATGCTTATTGGCATGAGAATGATGAGGATGAACAAAGAAGGTGAGATATAAGTTGATATTGATATAAAGTTTATTTTTTTTGTTAATTAAGTTTGTTCATCTCAATTAGGAGAATTGAAATCTCACAAAGACCCAAAAAAAACTTTAAATTGTGTTATAATGACATATTAAACTTAAGTTGCATGGAAACTCCGCGTGAAAACCGTTTTTTCATTTTATAACTAGAAAGTTTCGAAAATATAGAGAAAACGCGGGAAAATATTTTTCTGAAAAATCTCAATTTCAAATGCGAAGAAAATTTTCGATTCTATTTTGAAAACACAACTAAAACTTGTTTTTTTTTGAAAAACATAATAGTTAAATTTGCGGTTTGGAAAGAGAAATATATTTGAAGATAAACTTTGTTTGCATAACTAGTGAAAATGAAAATGAAAACGATGGTATAAATATTTAACTTTCAAATTTTTATTTACATTTATAAAAACATATTCGCTTTTTCAAAAACTACTTCTGCACTTTCAAATGTTTCGTTAAATCCATTTAGATACATGTTTCCGATTTCGATTTCATGCGATATAAAATAAAATTATGTTTTCTATAACAGAAAAGAAATATTTTTTGAGTAAATAAAGAGTCTTTGTTTTTGGAGGATTTTTAACTCAAAATAGAAGATATTTTGCAAATCCCTTTGATCATCAGAGAACAGAGATAGTGGAGCGATTCTAGATTTGAAGATCGATCTCCGAGTTAAGCTAAATCGCGGGGACCTTTACTGAATTTGAGCCAGTCATGTCTTCGGATCCTGAAAAATTGATGTCTAAAGCCGACAAAATGTATCCTTTCTCTTCTCTTCTCTTCCCATACATGTGTCAATGTCTATGTCTCTGTACGAGGGTTTGATGATCGGTGGGAGTTAAATTCGAATCGGGTTTTAGGGCATTTTTGATTAATCGATATGATTGTGTTCTTAAGATGTATCAGTGATCGAGAAACTTCTCGTGATCCATTCTTACGACTCGATCAATCTAGGATCTCGTGTATTGCTTCATGTTTAAGAACACTTCTTTATTTGATAGAATCAAGGAGAGACTTCTGATTTTCAAGTCAAAAACAGATCTTTTGAGAGTTTTGCTCTGCAAATTCCTCTGAAGTGCTTCTTTTTGGGATCGGAAATGGAATTGTCTTGGCTTTAGAAGTTGATGATGAGTGGGAAAATGTGATATTTTCTTCGGTTGACAAGGATTTGAGGAATCATTTTGGATTGGTTTGAATTGGAACATGATCATTGTTTTTCAAAATGGTGTTTTCTTTTGTTTTTCAGATTCTTAAGTTTCAGTGATCTCTTTCTGTTATTAACCTGTATCCTTCTAAGCATCTTTTGGTTCTTTCATTTTTACAGGACGAAACTCACGCTTACTAGATGGAGTGCTGATTGGAGAGGTGCTACTGAGTTGTATGAGCAGGCAGGTTGGTAACAGTGTGTAGTTTCCTCTATGGAAGAATCTAATCTCTAAAAGCTTCGAGATGAAAACTGATTTTGTTCTTGTCCTTTTACTCCTTTTCATCGAAAAATGACAGCGAATGGATTTAGGGCATCAAACAAATATGAGAAAGCTAAAGTGGCTCTCGAGAAAGCGTCAAAAGGACAAGAGATGCAAGCTTCGTATCCAAAATCACCTTTTAAGTTCTGCTGCTAGTTATTTTTGTTGTATGCAAATAGCATCCTATTTAGTGTTATCCTTGATATTTAATAGTCCATGGGATGCTGCAAAGCATATGGAGTCTGCTGCTGCCTTAGCACAGAAGCTAAGTATCTGGAATGAAGTTGCTGACTTTTATAGAAAGGCGTCTGAGCTGTATGTTGAGTGTGGAAGGGCACAACCCGCATCAGATGCTCTTGGAAAAGCTGCCCGGTAAGTCTATGTTGACGTCTTTAATCGTATAGAAATTGGATTTCATGATATTGCATTGTGTTGTATCTAACTATCTTAATTTTTAGATGCGATATGACTCTGATGTTTTCTATGTGTTACTGAGTATGACTTCTCGAGCCGGCTCCTTCGTTTGTTTGTTTCATCTTCAATAATTTTATGTTTCAGTGCTTTGGAAGATGTCAAACCAGATGAGGCCATCCAACTATACACTGATGCTTGTGAAATTCTTGAAGAGGATGGGAGGGACCAAATGGCCTTTGATCTGTACCGTGCTTGTGCAAATGTCTACATAAAGCTCGAGAAGTAAGTTCTCTCCTAACACATCCAAGGTTAAAGTTTCATTTGTACATGGATATGTCATTACTAACTTGTGATAAAAAAAA